ACACAATTATCCTTTTTTGCATACTAATCATAAGGTATCAAGAAAAAAAGTTGTTCACAGAATGCCTGGTACAGTTTGAGAACCTTAAAAATAAACCCCTTTCACTCTAAAAACAAATCCTCATCTGTCTGTGAGCAAAACTGGACTAAGTAAGGGGTCATTAAAATTAAAAGGGAGACATATAGAGGATGAAAATAAGGAGTGGACCTTGCTGAACTGTCAAACAAAACCAAATGTGTTACAACTACTGGTAAAATTCTAGGTGGTTTTTAGTGGTCTTTTTTTTGTTGGGGAATTTTTTTATAATGTATACTAACTTTGTTCCATTTTACAATTCAACAGTTTTTGTATAACTCCATTCTATTTTATATAAAAGTCTCAATGTGAACATTTGTGTTGATGGACTTTGCTGGTGTGAGAAAGCTGAGAAGTATAAAGAATACCCCATCTCTAAAGAGTGCAGCAATAGCATGCTAAATTGTATGAATTAAGATTGAAAACAAATTTGGAAGATTTCCTAGTGAATGCATATGCCAACTTCTCTATCAAGGAGTCTTGCTCTTTGAACAGGCTCCTCCATAAATTTCCCACTCCAGAATTCAGAAAGGTAGAATAAGAAACCTCTAATCCAAGCAAACACAGAATGTACATAAGATAGCACGGTCCTGATGTTGTCAGAACTGCCCCTATGATAACTAAAAAAATGTTAAAAATCAATAAACCTTGTTCTTTATATTTGTTAACCCGACCAAGCCAAGCTGAATGGGGCTCTGAGCAACCTGGTCTAGTGGAAGGTGTCCATGGCACAGGGTTGGAACTAGATGATCTTTAAGGTCCTTTTCAACCCAAACCATTCTGTAATTAGACAGAATGCTAGTAGAGTGTGGAAAAACAAATACCATATATTCATGTACAATACAAATAAAAACTTAACAAAATGTTTATTTCTAAAGCTGATGCAGCTTATGTTTCTTCTGGCTTTGCAAACTTCTGGTTAAAGCATCCCTTTTAGTAATTGCTGCTGATACACCTCTGCAACACAAATACTTAATCTCACGAAATGATATTGCCAGATAGATGAGATCCCTGTTACAGTCTGTTCTCTGTGAATAAGTAATGACAGTGTAAATCTTTATTTATAATAAATGCAAATTTCCAGAACAAGCTTTTCTATGTAACCACATAGAGTGTGTAGTGTTTTGTGTAATTACAGACTTAAGAAATAAAGGAAGTTGTATTTAGTGTTCACACGTAGAGGAATCCAACCTGGTGTTTTAGTTATCCTAGAAAAAATTCTAGCACATACTATGCAAGTATGTGCATAGTATGTAAGAAAAACATTCAGGATTTATTTATGACAACAACATTATTCTCAGTATGACACTAACAATTCAGATAATACCAAAAAACTGATAAAATAACATATCTTTAGATAGAATTTCTGAATTATTTCAGAGAGCAGTGGCATCAAGCCTTCAGCTCTGTCCATTATTAGAAGCCAAGAAAATATATATATTTTTTTTTTTTTAAAGTGTTTTCTTAGGGTGGCTGTACTCATTAACTGGAATGAAGTAGCTTTGAAAGTTTTCATTCTACCATTTTTAATAAATTACAAGTATAGATATGTTTATTATTGACATTTTCTAGTTATTTTCAAGGAATGTATTAATAATGATTTACATTACTTACTTTTTTCCTGACTCATACCTCTCAGGATGGGTTTTATTTTCAACACAACAATGTACTTCCAGCCTCCAAATCTCTCTAAAACTCAGATCAAACCATCCAGATGATTCACTACATCTGGACCATGGTTGCATTTTCCCCCTTAAACCTAAGGAAGGGAAAAGAGGCACTGATACTATTTATGTCCTGAAATTTGGCAAAACTGTTGTGGATGTGATGGGATGATATCCTGTGGATCCTAATTTGACATGCCATGCAGACAAGATAGTAAATGTGGGCCAAAACCATGGGGCCAACAAAATTTCAAAGTTCTTTTATGAAGTACTATTATGCTGAAAGAGATCTGGGACATGGCTACGCCTGTATGAGGTTGGAGTGGCTGTTGAACAGCTGAATTATCTCCTGGTCTCATGTATGAGTGGTGGAAAAGTCAGGTCCTGGCACTCCCTGTTGGGGAAACAACCAGAAAACTCTGCTTTGTTAGGTGGGGTTGCATGGTTGACAAAACTGAAAGACAACCACAAAATTCACAAACACATTAGAGACTGAGTAATTATTTATATTCTCAATATTTGTCTCAACAGGCTAATCCTAATCCTACTTAATCCCTTCCAGGGTTATTCTTGCTTTAGAATAAAGGATAGAGTAATTTAAGAAGAATAAGAACACCATCAGTAGAGTAAGTAGCAGCAATCCAAGGATAGACTTTTTTTTCCCCCTAAATCATCTGTTAATCTAAATTCTTCCTCAAAGAAAAAAGATACAACCAATATTAAAATGAATAATTACTTACAGAGCAAGAAGTGTTGTCAGTTTGATAATTCAATAATATTCTTCTACACAGGAAGGAAAAACTTCTTAAAAAGAGAAAAAAAAGGGAAATGCTCCATTGTCTAAACCTTTGTTGCTAGAAACAGTATTTATTACTATGATGCTTAACATAATATTTATTTGCTGTTAAGTTTCTAGAATCAATGATTTTTCATGCCTTCTAAGGGTTTTGCAGATGGCTGACTGTGGAATCTATAAATTATTTTGATTTTTAGTAGTCAAATTTTTCTTGCTTCATATAAGTGAACTTCAGAGGTCTGCAAAAGAGATTAACATAATGAGCACATTAAGGGGTCTACTAAAGGTTTTTCAGATGTCTGCAAATATAAGTTCTCTCAGATGAGAAATATTCAAAAACATAAATCTGTCTGTCTAGCTGTTTTCAACAAACATATCTGCAGACAACTCACTGTATGTAGCACAACAGAGTATCTCTCTTTATACCTGCTGACATCCTTTGGCACTGAACCTGTGACTTTTCTTCAAATTAGTGTCCTGTTCAGATGATATCTGATGCAGATATGATCATATTTTAAAAAATAGTGTTGCAAGTTTGTGCTTTGGCTGCTATTTAACAGTTTATGCTTGGTGAGGCAAATAAGCCAACTTCCCTTTTTTCCTTCGACAAAGTCACTGAAGTTGCCTGCAGCAGAAGTTCTTTGTGTAAATCCACTGGTAACTGCTTTGGAGCAGAAAAATAATAGGACAAAACTAAGCCTTTTTACATCTTTATGGATTGTACTGTAGTGGATTATACAAGTGCAATTTTGGAGAATAATTTATAAGTGTCTTTTCCTTGCTTTCAGCAAAATCATTATCCAATCCCATTGCTGTAAACTTTCTTCTAGAGATCAAAAATAATGATCCAGTTAACTTTACCATCTAACCAAATGAGTCTCTTTCATTAGAAAAGCGCTAGCATTTCTAATTCTAATACAGTTGGTAGTTTTAATGTGCAGCTTTCTGGTAGTTCCCCACACACTTAATGATTTTGCATTTTATGGTTCTACTCTTTAGGCTGGAGTTTTGACTCACAAATAATTGCACACCATTCCTTGGATGCAGAGTGAAGTTTTGAACTTTTATTATCTTGAGATGGCTTTGGATTCCCTTGCTTAACAAGCACTACAGGAAATTTCAGTTAAATGAGTTGTGCTGGTGAAGAATTACAGAAGGAAAAACAAAGCTGTTTTAGCAGCTTGTGTTTTATGAGAAACAGAGGTAAGGGAGAAACCACCCAAACGTTCCAGGGTGACAGAAACAGTAAGAGTGTTCCTTTGAGCTTTCCAGTGCTATGATAATCAACAGAGCTAATAAAATGCAGCAGTTCATGGGCTTTTGGCAGCTCGAGCCTTCAGGAGGACATAAAATTTTTGCCAAAAACCAATCTTAAAACCTTGGTTTTAAAACAAATATCCTGCCTGCTTTCTCTAGCAGCTCTAAATTTTTCCTGAGGTTGTTTGTGTAATCTATCTCCCTTTATCTGGATTAGATAAAGGAAATGAGGTTATTACATCATTGATCAAAACAGTGTATTAATGGCCTCCTTCTGGATTGGGCCAAAGATACTGTCTGCATTTGATTTACTAAAGTTGAGGGAAAGCCTGCAGTGTTTGTGAATCCTGGATAAGTATGCTGGGTATGAGTGTGCGATACAGAGTCAACAGCAACATGCAGACTGCTGCAAATGACAGATAGTAATATTCAGTGTGAGTTGGTGAGGTTAGTCAGTCCAGCACAGCAGCCAAAATCCTTGCCAAGATTCTCTCTCTCTCTCTGAATGTACTCCTACCCATTGAGAAAAAAGCTCCCACACACAGTATTGCTATAAATTTAAAAATTTATAAATTTTTTCCCCAATGCAAAATCTTTACTTTCTTGCTTTCCCTCCCAGGGAACTGCTTTATTCATTACCTGGACTGAATCTACTCCCTGCAGACTGAGCAGGCAACCAACTTTGCCAAAACAAATGCTTACACAGGGCTTCTCTAAACTGTGGCATTCAGCTATTGTTAGGCATGCACAGAGGTTATTTGGGTTAAAAACCCCACATTTTGAAGGGTGGAAAGAGATAAAAAGTAAAATTCCTTGCACTTAAATTAAGTAATAACTTACTAGGTTATTTACTTTACTTACCTACTTTAAAGTACTTAAAGTACTTAAAGTACTTTAAAGAAAATGCTTGTGTTTACCAATTGACAAGACCAGCAGATATAAAAAAGGCATCTTAAAAGTAAGTGTATTATTAGTAGTGTATTATAGTAAGTGTATTATTAAATTTTCAGAACAGGCATCAATAAATCTTCACAGGTCTCTACAAATCAATATCTGACTGTTTGTAAGGGGCAAATCTTGTAGAATGGCTGCAGAAACCCTATGAGAAATTCCCCTCTTTTTTTTTCCTTCCCCACATTTTGAGAACCCTCTGTCTGGCTCCCCTCTTGATGTGTCTGTAAGGTCCTGGGATCTGATCACAGACTCACAGAATATGCTGAGTTGGAAGAGGCCTTAGAGCAGCTCTGTTCTGCTGCAGGTCTTTACTGCTCCCTTTTATTGCTGGAGCTTGATCCAGGTAACACCTATGAAGAAGAAAGGGATTTGGGCCACAGATTACAGCCAGCTCTACCCCTGGCCCATGCAAGAGGCACAAGGGTGTTAAGAGTAACACAATAGGATTCAAGCTTGACACATTTAAAATCATACTTAGAGAATTGCAAGAAGGCTGCTTTTGAAAAGAGAGCTTAAAAGAAACTAGAAACCAAACATTTTATTTATCAGCCAAACAGATCCTAGTTATGAATTCTTTCAAGTTATTTCCTCTTGGCTAGCCTAGTTCAGCTGGAGTGCTGCTGCAGACTGGAGGCACCACAACTACAACAGCTCACTCCAGCTGAATGCTTCAGGAAAGCAGAAACACAGGATAGTTATTCTGCATTCTTAAAGCCAAAGTAGTTAAACTGTGAGGTGGAATTGTAACAGCTAAATTCAGATTTCCTGGATAAAAATGTAAAATACCCGACCAAAAGCTCTGACCTAGAGTTGCATTTCCTCTGTCAACTTGTTTAAAAATGTCAGATAAACATAAAATTTGGCTGTGTAAAAGAAGGAACAATAAGTAAGAAAGTAAGTAAAAAGTGTATGATGGCAGATTGATCAGAGAGGAGTTAGACTGGTGTAAATGTTCAGTAATAACATGGACTTTCCATGTTTTAAAGTAATGCACTGCCAATTTTCCCCTGCAAGTACTTTCTGTCAGGAAACCACTAGAGTACAGAGAGGTAATGAAAAAAAATATGCATGACCTGGGCAACCCATATAGATTCAGGTGACTTCAATGAAATAAGACTCTTAAGTTTTAATCAGAAAAATAAAGTGTGGAGAAAAGGGGGAGGAATTTCTTAACCCAAAAAATTGGGAAGGCTCTTACAGCAGGCCCATCTGGAGACTGAGGTTTTTCAGCACAAGTGAAACCAGGATAGCGCTGCTTATGATGGCCAGGACAGGAAGAGAATGGTCAAAAGGAAAAGAAAATGGAGAGGGAAAGCAATGCCATTCCAAAGCTAGCCTGGCAGCCTTCAGAGTGGAATTTTTCTTGCAACAATTAAAACTAGACTGGCCATGAATGCATACCACTTTATCCAGGGCTGAAGATATTTATGGATCGGGAAGGTAATCATCCCTCTGCATCTTTTCCATTCTCCTCTTCTTCTAGCATTAAGGATATCAGAGAATCACAGAATGTCTGATGCAGAAATGGACCTCTGAAGGCCATTTGGTGCAACCTCTCCTGCTCAAGCACAGCCACCCAGAGCCAGTTGCCCAGAGGAGTTTTGAATATGTCTAGGGATGGAGGCTCCACAACATCTCTGAGAAACCTGTGCCAGCACTCAGTCACTCTCACAGTAAAGTGTTTCCTGACTTTCAGAGGGACCCTCCTGAGTTTCAGGTTGTGCCCATCACTTCTGGCTCTGTCACTGGACATTACTGAAGAGTTTGGTTCTGTCCTCTTTCTACCCTGTCCCTGAGGTGTGTTTACATATCAATAAGATCCCCTTGAGCCTTCTCCTACGCAGACTGAAGAGCCCCTGCTCTCTCAGCCTTTCCTCACAGGTGAGGTGCCGGAGACCCTAAGTTACCTTTGTGGCCCTTTGCTGGACTATGTCCACGTGTATCACGCACTGAGAAGCCCAGACCGGGACACAGCACTCTAGGAAGGGACCTCACCTGTACTGAGCAGAAAGAAAGGATCACCTCCCCCAGATTGCTGGCAACACTTTGTCTAATGCAGCCCAGGATTACCTTCTTTCCAGCAAGGACACATTGCTGGCTCTTGGTCAAGTGGGTGTCCAGCTCCAGGGCCTTTTCCGCAAACTTGCTTCTTAGCAGGATGGCACCCAGCATCTCCTGCTGCCTCAGGCTGTTTTATCCCAGGTGGAGGACTTGGCACTTCCCCTAGTTGAACGTCATGAGGTTATATCCTAGGACAGGAAAGAATCTGATCTATTATTTTGCCTATTTTACTTTTTTTTTATTGCCTATTTTACTTTACTTTTCTAAAAGCTTTGATAAATATTATTCCATTAAATTATACAAATACAATAAAAAGTATACTATATTTATGGGGAATTTTTTTTCATAACTCTTAGATACCAAAAAGTTTTTCAAATTTATTTTCTTTATACCTATTTTCTTCTACTGTGGGTTTTAAGGATAAATGCAAACAAGACGTGTAGTTCTAGTGTGTATGAAGTTGATCAAAAACTTGGTAAATATTCACCTTTACTGAAGCCACACTAGCTTTTCCCAGGCAAGATGTATTTCTCAAGATATCCACCAATTCTACACTTGGCTTGTACTTGTAGTAATTTCCTCAGTAAAGAAGGCAGACTTAGAGGTTTCTTGATCCCAAAGGAGCTTTTAAAAATATATCACATCTGTGATACCACAGATGCTGCACTCCAGTCCTTAGGTGCCATGGGAGCCTTAAAGCAGAAGTTAGATGGTGCTGTTAGTAATTTAGCTGTTTCATTCTTGAGATCTCTCAGAGCTCTTGGGGGCACATGATCTAGGTCTGGTGATGTTTTAGTGTTTGTTCATTGCTTTGTTCCATGGCCCTCCTGCAACCACTTCAGTTTCAGACAGGGCCTTTGCAGAATGTGCTGCAAGAATGTTAAAGAAGGGGAATTTCTCTTATTTCCACAGTGAATGGCAAGACAAAATAATTGTGTAGTATTATATCCTCATGATCAACCTTCCCTGACTAAAGTCTGTGGTTTTCTTCTGATGTGTGTGAAGCATTTAATACTAGTTTTAATTTTATCTTTTAAGTATTAGCTTCAAATTCTGGTTTAGTCTGCACTGGTTTCCATTTCATTTGATATGCCTGAATTTTTATTAAAACCTTTCTTATATTAATTAGAACATGCATGATTTCTGCAATTTGAACAATGTTTTTCTGTTTCTAGCAAATGCCTTTCCTTCCATTCTGTCTTGTTTTCATCCTTATTTAAGCCTTTCCTACTGCAATACAATATGCAAATCCCCTGTAAGTATTTAATTTTCTCAGCTCCTTCTTTCAAACTCTGTTTTCAAAGGCTCCTTACTTTTACATCACTCTGTTCCTTCACAACTCGTGAAAAAGTGCATGAACTGGAAGAATTATTTTGCTTGTGGAACCATTCTCTTTGGTAGTAGGGTGTATGAGGCCACAAACTTTGTTCCTTTAGCACCAATTCCCATATGTTAAAACCACCATAACTCAACAGAAATGGACTAAGCGATTTCTTGAGTGGTATTTTTATCAGTTGTGATGGAGAATGATGGTGTAGATATGATCTCCAGATCAGGAAGTCACTACCTAATTGCTGAAAACCGAGATGGAGTACCAGGGGAAATATTATCCTTTATGCATTCACAATCTCATATATACCTCCCTAAGCATACCAATCACTGTCTAAGACAGGATATTGAGGCAAATGGCTTTTTTGGTTTAACTCCATGTGCTCATTTTTATGAAAAGTAAATCTGTTAAGAAGCAAATGCTTCTGGAGTGAGGTAAATTTCCCCAGAACTTGATTTCCCCAGAACTTGATTTCAGAGGAAAACAGCAGGAAAAGTTCTGATGTTAATATATTTCTTTCTGGGGAACCTTGTTGCTTGATTACCTTTCTGAAGTGCCTGTACACAAATGCACACAGCATGGGGAATAAAGAACTGAAAACCTATGTGCTGTCACAAGGCCATGATCTCATTGCAATTACAGAGACAGGGTGGGACTGCTCACATGACTGGAATATTGTCATGGATGGCCATGCACTTTTAGAAAGGACAGGACAGAGAAGTGAGGTGAGCTGTTTATGTGTAAAGGCAGCTGGAATATACTGAGATCTACCCTGGGACAGACACCTGATTTGAGGGTTTACGGGTGAGAATTAAGGGACAAGCTAATGTGACATTTGTGGATGTTTATTTACAGGCCACCTGTAGTGACCATGAGATGGTGGAACTCAGGATCCTGCACAGGGGAAGCAAATCAATAAGCAGAACTAGAACCGTAAAGTTCCAGAGAGCTAACTTGGGCCTCTTCAAGGACCTACTAAACGGGATCCCATGGATTATGGCTCTGGAAGAAAAGTGCGTCCAAGAGACAGGGTCAATATTTAAGAACTACTTTCTCTAAGGTCAAGACATGATAAAGTAATCTGACAAAAGGAGCAGGAGATGTGCATGGATGAACAGAGACCTCCTATCTCAAAGGCAAGAAAGAAATCTATGGGATGTGGCAAAAAGGATAGGCCATGTAGGAGCACTATGGGAACATTGTCAAAATATGCAGGAATGCAATGAGGAAGGCCAAGACCCACCTGGAATTGCAACTGGCAAAATACCTCAAGGACAACAAGAAGGGCTTCTGCAAGTATATCAGCTGTGAAAGGAAGATCCGAGATAATGTTGAGGTGCTGCTGCATTAGATGGATGTCCTGGTAATGGAAGAGACAGAGAAGGTGGAATTACTGAGCACCTTCTTTGCCTTAGTCTTTACTTCTGAAGATGTCTCTCAGCAGTCCCAGACTTCAGAAGTAAGAAGAATGCTGGAGAAAGAAAGACTTCCCCTTGGTCATAGAGGGTTGGGTTGGAGGTTGACTAGGCACACTTAACACCTATAAATCTGTGGGCTCTGATGGGATGCACCCATTGGTGCTGATGGAGTCACAGATGTTCTTGCTCTTCTTCTCTCCACCATCTTTGAAAAAATTAGAGAACAGGGGAGGTATCTGTGGACTAGAAGAAGTCCAATGTTTCTCCCATCTTTGAGAAGGGCTAGAAGGAGGACAAGAGAAACTACGGGCCAGTTGGTCTCAACTCCAGCCCTGGAAAGGTGGTGGAACAGGTCATTCTGGAGATCATTACCAAGCATTTGGAAGAAGGCTGTAGTGAGCATGGATTTGCCAGGGGGAAGTGATGCTTGACCGATCTGGCAGCCTTCTGTGATGACATGGCAGGATGGGACAGTGAGGAAGGGCTGTGGATGTTGTCTCCTTTGACTTCATCATGGCTTTTGACACTGTCTCCCAGAACATCCTCATATGTAAGCTCAGGAAATGAATGGACAGGGTGAGGTGGATCAAGAACTAAAGGCAGAGCTCATAGGGTCTAGATCAGAGCTCAGAAGGTTGTGGTGATCAGTGGAGCAGAATCCAGTTGGAGGTCTGTAGTCAGTGGCATTCCCTATGGATCAATACTGGGCTCTCTTATTCAACTTGTTTATCAATGACCTGGAAAAAGGGATTGAATCGCCCTCAGCAAGGTTGCTGATGATACTAAACTGAGGGCAGTGGCTGATACACCTGAAGGCTGTGCTGCCATTCAGTGGGACCTTGATAGGCTGGAGATTTGAGCAGAGAGAAACATAATAAGGTTCAACAATGGCAAGTGAAGGGTTCTGCATCTGGGGTAGAATAACTCCAAGGACCAGCACAGGCTGGGGGCTGATCAACCTGAAGTTTTTCATGTTCCAGAAGTATTTTTCATCCAATCTCTTCCTTTCAGAAACATGTAACTATGGTCAGCATCAATCCTTTCAGAGCATTTCAGATCTTGCTATCTTGAAAAATTTTCACAAATCAAAACATTCAAAGCCTTGAAAATACAGTCTCAAGAATACATAAAATATAAAGTCCTTCCTGGCATATAAGAAGAAAATTGGTAATATTGAAACAAAAGGCTACTGACCATTGTTTTCTTGCAGTTTCTACTATAAAAAGGATCAGAGCAAAACTAGATGAAAAAAGGCCAATTTAAAAGTAAATTACAACTAGGATGCAATTTGAAATGCTTTTGGCTTCTATTCCGGACTGTCCAGTCATACTTCACTAAGTTTGATCACAGCTTGAGTTCACCTTCAAGTCTAAATTATGGATTTTCCCTTGAAGGAGCCTGGTTAGCTTACCCAGATTTTATCCTATTAGCAATGGATAGACATAGAGCTTTTTTCTTTGTTTGGAAAGGTATTTAAATATAAACATCAACTGACTTTGAGGGTATTTGATGGTCATCAATTTGAAGGAACACACACAGTTTGTTGTGATTGTGAGATGTTTCTGAAGATCTGCCCTGCTAGATCTTCATAAGATAAGGTTATCCTGTACAACCTGCTAGGCCACTAGGCATTCCAGTGAATTTGGGATGTCCTGTTTTTTTGACCTATCATGGAATGTAAAAATTCTTAGTTACATAGTAAATTTTAACAATTAGCTCTGACATGTTTATCAATGTTTATCCCTAACTGCTTCAGAAGGTTTATTGTTTTCCTTGCTGTCTTATAAGCCACAATGTTGTACCGACTTTAATAAATGTAAGTAAAATTACATAATTTCATTAAATGATTTTATATTGTTCAACATACATATGGAAATGCTCATGAAGAGGAGCAGAAATTTGATCATTTTTAAACAGCACTATCTGACTTGGAACAGGTTAGCGTAACTGAGAGGAAAACTGTTTAAATTAAAATGCAACACTTTAAAATTAAACTTTGAAAGTAAATGAACTTTATTATGTCCTGTGAACATTTACATTGCAGGAAAGGCTCTATACTTTTACTGAAAGGTCTCTCATCTTAAACTCCCAAGAAAAAAGTAATTACTCATGTTATTGGTTGGCCTGTACTGGGGGACTTGAGCATATCCCTGGTAGGAAACTCATTGTGTAGATTAAGTTTGTGTGGGGCTTTCCCCACAAGAGGAGGGATAATGTAACTTACTTTAATACCAGCCCTGTAATAATGACTTGGGTGCAGGTATCCAAAACATCATGTGTGTTTCAGAATCCACTGTGCTGTTTCCTCCTGCTGTCCAGCCTTACTTAAAAAGAAAGCTTTTTTCAAAGAAATCAATTTACTTTGGTAAAAATTGTTAGAAGTACTGGAGTTTCCTGTGCTTTTGTCAGGATGTGAGTTTTGCCTTTATAGCTTTCCACA